AATGCGAAGACCGTTTTCATGTAGTCGCGGAATGTCCGTGGTACGAAGAGGAGAGGGAAGTGTACATGACTGAGCTGGGAACAATACAAGGGACGTACAGGGAGATGTTTGAGGCATGGAATAGAGAGGAGAGGACGGTAGCTGTACTGGGGAGCAGGAAGTGGTTTGAAAAGGCGGGAAGGGATATCGTTAGGATAGACAGACCTAGGGAAGACATTTTTGAGCCACCTTTGGCAAAGTAGGAACGAACGATTGGCCATCGGTGATCGGTCCTGTGGGAACAATGCTCCGTCCTCCCAAGGACGCGTGGTCAATGGTCTAACCGCTAAGGCATGCAAAACATCAGAGTACGCCCCCCCCCCACCCCCGCGGCACCAACCAAGGTAAAATGTGATGCAGCTCCGAGTGCGAAGACCTGGTTCATGTAGTTGCGGAATGCCTGTTGTACAAGAAGGAGAGGAAATTGTACATGGCTGAGCTGGGAAAAGGTAGAAGGAAGATACAGGGAGATGTTTGAGGCATGGAATAGCCAGGAGAAGACGGTAGCTGACTGGGGCGTAGAACGTGGGTTTGTAGAGGAGGGAAGTGATATCGATAGGATAGATCGGCTAGGGAAAACATGTTTGAGACACATTTGGCAAAGATCTGGAAGGAACGATTGGCCATCGGTCTTCGGTCCTGTGGGAGCAATGCTGCGTCCTTACGAGGACGCGTGGTCAATGGTCTAAACGCTAAGATATGCAAAACATAAGAGTATGCCCCCCCACCCACCCCCTCCGCACCAGTGTTATATTTCAAACGGAGACCCCCCTCCTCGCCGCTGATCTGAAACTGCCGGTGGGTGGGGTCACCGGACACCCCGTGAGTCACCCCTCACCGACTTCATGAGTCATTATCTTGCAGCTGCCGCGTTTGGGGTCTGTTCTTCTCTGTTTGCGTATTGTTCCACCACATGTGCGGGTTCCCACGTCGGAACTAAGCACGTGTTCTTATGGCCAAGTCCTTAAATATTGAATATTGAATATTTCGAGACTGCATTTCTTAACTGCTAACTTCTAAAGTGCGAGCGCCATCTGTAGTCCGCTCTGTCAAGCCGTTCTCGCGTTGGAAGTCGATGGAGGCGCTCGTTCGCGGATGGCTCAAAATATGGAGCTCGCATCCCTAACGAACTCTCCATTGCAATTACGCCACCATCTGGAGTAGTTTACGTCCACCACCCAAGCCACAAATACGCTAATTTTGCAGCTTGATTGAAAAGACGAACTTCAAAAGGATCAAGTACATCCCGATCCGTTGGTAAGGTGCACATCTGCCACAAGCTCGTTGTTTTTTGCACGACCGTTTGACCACAACTGCAACGTGTACAACGCCCAACGCCTAATTAATGTGCTAGTGTGTATTCTTGCGCCTGAGCGAAACGTGCGGTCCAGCAACCCCAGCAGTGAAATGCGAGAAGGGTGAAGCTGTGCGGGATGTCGAGGGAGACATCCTGAAACAGCGCGAAATGTGAACGCCGATGGTCTTATCTACCTGCGTTGTTACAATGCGAAATAACCAGGTGGGTTGAAAGCACCGAAATCTGGCAAGGAATCCGCGACAAGAGGAAACACCGATCGGTGTCTGGAAGGTACTCATGAAGCGTCACGCCACAGGCAGGTCTACAACCAGGCTCGTGGTCGCGGTCTGGTGTGCCCTCAGTCTATTGCGGAGCATCGACGGCCTCTACACGGACTATGAGCTATGCACGGGAAGCCTAGCGACTGTCGAAGATGGCGTTTGCGATAGTTCCAACAACATCGCGTCTTGCTTGTACGACGGGGGCGACTGCTGTCCGAGCACCTGTGTGTCAAGTGCTGGACTGTGTACGGAGGACACGCGGCAATGCCTGAACCCCTCGGCGAGCGACTACCCTTACGCCGAGTACGGGAACTGTACGGCGATGTCAGGACACTTGCCTTACATCAGCGACGGTGAGCTAACTTATGTACACTTACATGAGACGGCGGCCAAACTTAAGGACGATAGACCGTAGACCGTTGTTAGGACCTCTTTCCAAGTACTCGCCATGGCAAAGGTGAACTCGAAGTGTCAGAGCAATGCAGTCAATAAAGAATCCCAATGCTCTTGAAAGGCAAGGCATGCCGTGCTGAGAACTCGTTTCCACGCTCGTTTTCTCCCCTTGTTTGCTGCTTTTCCTGTGACACGCCGAACACCGACATGGACATCTACGGTCTTCCCTCAGGCATCTGTGATGAAGTGAACAACAACATCGAGTGCGGTGAGGGAAGTCGACTAATCTGTCAGCACAACAAGTAGGCTAATGCTTTTCGAAGGGTGTTGGAGTACCCGGCACGCGAAAGGCTTCCGAATCACTACCCCTACTACATTGCAGTTCCGATAACTTTGTCCGCAGAAAGATCGCAAACATACAAGGACGTCCGCTCTTTGCTTTATCGTCTTTGTGGCCATGATTTGTGTGCGTGTACCTACGCGATCATTTGCACACATGTAAGTTTTCGACATATTTCGACGACCAGTTCACGACGAGGAGGCACTGCATACGCTGATTAACTCGATACGCCAGGACTTCACACTACTAGTGTGTGTAGCTGTAGGTGTTGTTAACGGTATCAGGCGTTTCTTGCTGATGGCATTCGATGCTGTGTCTACCTATGTGTGGCAGGCTACGATGGGGGCGATTGCTGTCCGTCGACATGCGTCGTCTCGACCACCGATTACTGCCCCGAAGATAATAGCGAGTGTGTCGACCCATTTGCCGTCGACTTCGGCTATCCGGGTTTCGAGAACTGCACCGGGTATCCGCCAAGCATGGGTAACGGGCTATGCATCCCAGATAACAACATCCCGGAGTGTGGGTACGACGGGGGGGACTGCTGCGAGTGCTCCTGCCAACCGGCACAGTTTATGTGTCTCGGACGCTTTGACTGCCTAGACCCGTCTTTCAATACCACCGAGTGTGTGACGAACACCACGGCCTGCTCTCCTGACCTTTCGAGGGAATGGCTGGTGGAGGACACCGCCAACGCAATCGAGTTGGCCAACGCCATCAATTGCACGGGCGGCACGTTTGACGTGGAGTGGCGAGGCAGCGTAATCGTCCCCCAGACGCTGTGGATATCGCAGGGAACTACTGTCAACATCACGGGGGTGGACACCACAGCGAGTCCAGCTGTTGCAGACGGAAACGGAGAGTCTCGGATCTTCGGCGTGATCAACTCTTCTCTGAATCTACACGGGATGACACTCTCCAACGGACATGGCGTCGTAGGTGGGGCTATTTTTAGTGCGTTGGGAACGGTAACGTTCAGCGGGAGTAGTGCATTGGTCAACAACTCGGCCGATGAGCACGGGGGGGCGATGTTCGTTGACGGCGGGGCGGTGTCTTGGGACGGTGACATGATTATTGCTGATAACTCATGTTCCTGGGATGGAGGCGCCATTCTCATCCGCAGTGCTGGGTCTGTGTCATGGAGCGGCAACACGACTTTCATCGGCAACCGAATCTACAGTTTCGGCCACAACGGTGGCTTTAGCTACGGTGGAGCTATCAACGCTATACTCGAGTCCAACGTGTCTTGGACCGAACAGACGAGCTTCATTGATAACCGCATAGATGTCGATGCCGTCGACCGTGAGGTGGTGTGCTACGGCGGGGCCGTGGCGGTGGACTCGAACAGCTCGGCAATCTGGAGTGGGAGTACATCGTTCGAGGATAACGAGGCGTGTTTTTGCGGTGGCGCTTTGCACGCAAATGACACTGGCATTTTCTCATGGACGGGAGAAACAGTTTTTTCCAACAACCAAGCAACGAGCGGTGGCGTTCTTTGCTTGGAGTGGTACTCGAGTGCTTCCTGGTCCAATTCGACAGCCTTCGTGGGGAACAATGCTAGCGAGGACGGGGGCGCTCTTTATGTAACAGATATCTCGTCTGTTGCTTGGACTGGGGACACCAGGTTTGAGGGAAACAGCGCGAGGAATGGCGGTGCGGTTCATGTCAGTAGTACCTCCTCTTCCATAGCGTGGAGTGGAGAGACGACTTTCGAAGGAAACTTTGTATCTGGATCTGGTGGCGGTCTGTTTGTAGGGGAGGGCGCGGAGGTAAATATGACCGGACGGACGGACTTCTCGAATAACCACGCCGACGTGAACGGGGGCGCCGTGGTATCGGCCTTGAACAGCGTCACAGACGCGACCGAAAGCGTCATTTCGATCGACGGCATCACCTCGTTCTTCAACAACTCGTGCCAAAGCTGTGGTGGAGCCCTGATGATCAGCGGATCAGTATCCCTTTCCTTCGCATCTGACGGTACACAGTTCCTGCAAAATGTTGCTGAATCCGCGGGCGGGGCCGTCTGTCTCACAGGCGTTGGGGAAGGCCCGACCTTTAGCGGAATTCGTTTCGATTCAAACTCGGCGCAGATCGGGGGGGCTGTGCGCTCCACGGGATCGGGGACGACCATATTGGCTACCGGAGAGGAGTTTCCGGTGACGTTCACTGGCTGTAATTTCACAGGGAACTGGGCGACGGCCTCGGGGGGGGCGATGGAGAGCGCTGCTGGAAAGGATTTGGTGGTGAATTCCACGTTCTTGGGCAACACGGCGAGTCAAGGGGGTGCCGCGAGGTTCGCTGGCTCAGTGTCGGTCTCGAACTGTCTGTTCATGAACAACCATGCAGACGAGCAAGGAGGGCCAGCGTTATCAAACGTGGGCTTCATGGAGGGCATAGAGGCCTGTACATTCGCCGACAACGATGTTCTCTGCCCTTCAGGATTTTTCCTGGACTTCGTCGATGTAAGTTCTTGTTACTCGTGGTAAAATGAGATGGATACCCTCCGGCTCTGCGGCTGGCTATATTTGTTGTGTGTGCCTTTTCCACAAATGTCCAACGTGGTTGCCGTTCACCGTTCCCTTTGCACTCGTTCGGTACTACTCAAAGGAGACAGTCGATGAAAGCACTTGTTGAGACGCTTCTAGAGGCTACCAAAACACAAAACGAAGGATGCCAGAATAGCAACATCTGGAGGTAGGAGCAATCCCTCCCGATCTGGGTGATGGGAGGACACCAACAAGCCAGCATCAAACGAAAGTTCTTTACACGGCCAGGAATTGGTCGACGTTTACGTTCATGCATAGTTTCTTGTCGAGGTTCTGATCCACACGGTTATGCCACTGGTTGTGACCGTGCACGAAACACCGGTCCGCCCCTAGACGATTGTTGCTGTGCCCATGCTGGTGCCACCGCACGAAGTGCAGCGACACGACCCGCGCAAAATGTCTGGAAGCGTGTACCCCCAACGGTGATGCAGTTAAATACGGTGAATTGGTCATTTCGAAGACTGCGATCGACTGGGTGGTATCAAAGGGTTGGCTTAATCAGAGTGATGCCATCTGCCAAGCCAACGGTGAACCCTAGTACTCGCAAAGTTGTCGAGTTGAGCTTATTCGACACATAGCGTAGGGCTGTACCCTCACGAAACTTTGGTGTGGTCCTCCTGCAGAGATCATTTTTACACAGTGTATCACGTTCGCCGTTTGTTCCATCCATGCAATGCTCGCGTGAAAATCTCAGGGCCATCGATACTCGGACGTTTGTTCCGGATGTGAAGAATGCAACGATTGCGACGTTGCTGATAGCAGCGAGGTCCCTACGTGCACAATCACGCCTGCTCACGCCCAGAGCACTGGCAACACCATCGAAACTCTCTCGATCGACCGTGGCTATTGGCGTGCAACATCTTCCAGTCAGAATATTCTTGCCTGCCACAACTCGGACGCTTGCTTGGGCGGAGAAACTGGGGCTGCTGACTTCTGTGCTGAGGGCTACGAAGGTTCATGTACGTCACGGCGGTGTGGGACTTTGGTCCGTACACTGCGAGTTAGGTTCTCTCCGACACAAGAAGATTTAGAAGTAACTGGTATAGTGAAGAGCGTGAGCTGCACCCGCGAGCCAGGTACTTGCGACCTTCCCGGTCTTGTGCTCGCGCGGTGCATGCAATGCCGACGTGTGCTCACTGCTTTTGTTTGCGCTGGGGTCAATGAACAAATAGCTCTTTTCCTTGTTTGTCCTACCGTGTGTATCAGACTGTGCGGTGTGCAGCGATGGGTTCGCCGAATCGCTGTCATTCACATGCAGCAACTGCTCGGATGGCAAGGCAACCGTGGTGGCGCTGGTGGCGTTGCCAATTATGGTGATACTGGGGCTGATATTTCTGGTGTACATGGTGTCGAAGGAGCGCGATCGCGAGCGCGACGCTCCCCCCCCGGCGGGACCATGGCATCGGTTGAAGCAGCTTCTTCCTCTGCAGTCACTCAAAATCATGATCGTTGTTTGGCAGATCTTGACCGAGGTAAGGACAAGTGTTTCGGGGGGCCTGCAACCTTTATTCGCACCTATCGACCCCACCCCACCCCCCGGCCGCTCGTAGTTGTACTCACCCCCAAAAATAATGATAAACCGAAGAAAGCCGCATTGTGGGGCCTTATTTGCGCTTGTGGGGCATCATTGGCGTGTACACGCCGACCAGAGCCCAACGCACTGCAGTTTGGTCTCTGGTATACGGCCCCGCCAGAACGGCTCCCATTATTCCCATCGATAGACACGAACGTTGCCATCGAAGCTGAGATCGTCGCCGCGTACCCATCCGCCGTCGGAGTGTTCCTACAGCTGCTGTATGTGAAATATTTTTCAAGACACACAGGCCTACTAATCGAAATTCAGGGTCCGGTGCGGAGGGGGGGGACTCAAATTTCTATATAATCGCGTAAGGGGCACCGTGGATATAAATCATTCTGCAGTAGGGGGTCAATGACATTTTTTCGTGAGCAAATCCCCCTATTATATTTCCTATATGAAACAGAAATCGAAATTGCCCTCCGGGGGCGGGCGGCATATGTCCGGGTTTTTCTTCACGTAGACCCTTGGTCCCATATTCCATCAACGGCCATGCAGGTTTCCCGACCAAATTCGCTTGTGTGGCTTTTGCAGTGCGGGTTCCAAGATCTACCCTGCCCTACGCATATCGTGGTACTCGTCGAATGCGTCTGTGACTTGATGCCGTGTTTGACGTTATAACCCCTTGTCACATGTTGGATCCTGTATCCTAAACCCAACTGATTCCCACGGGTATCCTGAAGGCGCCAAGAATGAGCGACGGACCTTAACTCGCCGTGAAATTGGCTGTTGTTCGCCTACACCATAGTTTCAAGAGCAAATAACTGCGTTCTCACCCAGTATCCTCTCTTAAGCTCTCCGAATATGTCCCGTTTGCCCCGTCGGTCTTGTTGTTCGTGTTCAGCTCGCCTCAGTCGCCACTGTGTCCTTCCCTGACGTCTACGAGCAATTCCTTGACGGGACCGCCTTCCTAGGCTTCGACTTTGGGTGGATGCTGTCCGCCGGATGCTTCGTCGATATTGACTTTCACGACCGCGTGGTGACATCCACGGTCGGGCCACTGGTGGCTTTGGCCATCCTAGGGTTGACGTATATCGTGGCGCGGTGTCGAAATCGCTCATGTGACCAGGCTCTCCATAAAGTCCGCCGGAAGCACGTGTCTATGGCTTTGTGGGTATCGTTCCTGGTGTATTCGCCAGTTTCATCGACCATATTCCAGACGTTCTCTTGCGAAACGCTGGACGACGGAAAGACATATCTTCGTGTGGACTATCGCATCGACTGCGACTCTTCCAAACACCTGGCGATGGAGATATACGCGGGGCTGATGATCTTCGTGTACCCGATCGGCATTCCGCTCGTCTACGCAGCCCTGCTTTTTGGGGGGCGTGACGCGCTGAAGATCGCGGCTGTCCCCAACATGGAGCAGTCGCGTGTGCAGGCTGCTGTCCATTTGTCCTCTCCATACCGGCCAGGTTGCTTCTACTACGAAGTCATCGAGTGCGCCCGGCGGGTGTTGTTGACAGGTGAATCAGTTGTATCCATAGTTACTGGCACTGTCTGATGTATACGACAACAATTTTGTGGCTCACTCCCGCCCCCCCCCCCCCCCCCGGGAAACGTTGCGCGTACAGGTGTTATCGTCTTCATTTTTCCCAATGAGTCGGGACAGATAGCCGTCACACTGGTGATGGCGTGCACATTCGCCTTGTTGTTCGAAGCCCTCGCTCCGTACGACAGCAAATGGGACGCTTGGATCTCGCGATCCGGTCACGTGATCGTGCTGCTCAGTATTTTCGTCGCCTTTCTACTCGAGCAACGTGTTACCGATGGGACGAGTGAGAGTCAAGATCTGTATGGAGGAGTTCTGTTGGGCATGAACGTTTCGATGGTTTCGGCGGTAGTAGTGCAGGGCATCATTATGGCTTGCTCTGCAACCCGACCAACTGAGTCACTGCTACCACGATCGGTGACTTCAGCGGCTGTCGGTTTCGATGTCGAACACAGCAGCAGCGATTTTGACGAACACGGCGGTAATCGCATTGCCAGTACTGCCCGCACACAGGATAGCAAGTCGTTCCGCTCAGCTGTTGAGGACTTTTCTGGTATTGTTTCCAGGCGAGGTACGAGTTTCCGCCAGCGTTCATCACCAAGAAGGCCGGTGGTGCCTTGCTACTCTGATGACGAAGCGGTCGAAAGAGGGAGGGCTCCATGGGGTTGAGTTTAGATTTTTTATCCTGTATTCCTATAGTGGATATAAGTAGTGGCTCACAACGGGGAGGTGGGCTGCTTTTTACACGGACAACAGTGAGTATGTTCCAAATCACTGGTTGTGGCAGTACCGAGGGCTTGACTGCGGTATGGTATTTTGTAACACACTCGCCTCGGTGCTTTAAGAGGTTGTGCATTAAATGTGTGCTGTACTGTAGCCTCTCGTGTTGGGGTGGTTATGTGGGAATGGTTGTGCAGAAGTTCACAAACGCTCGCAGGAGGCAATCGTTCGAGTTTATGCTGCAGGTTTGCAGATGGGGTTGGGTTAGCTGAACGAAAGGGTATTCCGGTTTCTCCTCCACTAACTCTTGTTTGTGCTGACGGCAGGGCTGCGACCATGTTTGAAAATATGTCAAACGGGGTTTCGTCTGCTCCCTAGCCGCAATGAGCGCGTCTTGGAGAACTTTTTATGTTTTTCCGTGTTGTTGGTAGACGGTGGTGTATCAGTTGCTGTACTGTTCTTGGTCCAACATTCTTTTTAGCCCGCTTCAATAGATTCTTCGATTGCACTCGGGATCAACTGCTTATCGAATGGGAACATATTTCCTACGTCCTCACTGACATCAAAGTCACCACGACGCAAACCAGCAACCCACCAGAGCCTCCAAGTCCACCAGAAGCGCGGCAGCGAGCCGCTTTGCCAGTTCTGGCACCCCGGACGGTCAGCTTCCGTGACCCTTGATATTTGGAGCACTATGCTCGGTGGCCTCTTGCGCGCAGAGAGGCGATTCCCTCTTCTCGCGTCCGTCCTTGGATCGTTTACTTTCAACTTGAACCCTGAGCTTAGACTTGGACCCTTGGGGCCTTGCATGTCATCATTCTGAACGTTTGGTTGCGTGATTTGTGATGTTGAAGGTGCTGCCCCCCGCGCTCAGGTGTTTCTAGCTGTGGAGAAGACAACGTGCAGATGCCCGCTGAGTATTGCATTACCCAGAGAAGGTTCATAAAACTCATACATAACAGGTTGTAAACCTCGTTAAAGTCGTTTTTGGGAGGAACCCGTCATTCATTGTGGAGGCAACGAACGGCCAGTTGGAATTTTCTCGTTTGAAACTCTCCGGCAAGGTGTTGATGACGTGTACATTCATTCAACGCCATTTCAATAACAGGCAAAGGACTTCAACACACACGTTCAACTGAACTCTTGCGATCACCCCCCAGGATGTATTCCCAGGAGACCATGTCCCGGAAGGGGAAGCTTGTATCCATTTATTTGTATGTATGTCGCCTGCCTTTGTCCTTCGTTCGGGGTAGCTAGGGGTGCGGGATGACTTTGTTTGGGCACACTCGCTGCTTCCCCGCGAAATTGATTCGAAGTTCATATTTCTATATATTTAAGGAATAATATAAACACACACAGAAAGACTACCCATTCGAGATATACCCACAGTCGAACGGGATGTGGTGGAGTCTTTTCAGTGAGTATATATTACGTACTGCGGTAGTTTTTTTGTTTTTTTGTTTTTTTTGTACCGAAACCAGAGCCAGCCGTGGCACTACCGAAAAGGTTAAGATTACAACGATGCAACCATAATAGATAGCCGTGACGATGTCTTCTTGCGTCGCCTCCCGAAGGGGAGCCTTGTACTGAATTAATTGTGCGTGTTTTTCACCCGCACAGAGAGAGAGAGAGAAAAGGTGCCCGCAGTTTTCTGATTGGCCAATCGTCTTGAAGACCGTTCCAAATAAAGGGCAAAAAATGAAAAAATCAAAAATCCCTGGTCGTCCGATGTCGGCATCCACGTCGACGAAGCCGCATGATTCAAAATTTACAAATTTTCAACTTTGCCATGCATGATGAGCAATGATGAGGATTGCGTCGATGATGTCGCCGGCTGATGGATTGACATTCTCCCGTCAGCACAACGGTAGCATCGGGGCAGCGCCGAGAGAGGCATCCTTAGCGAGCCTTCTGAATGGTACGCCCGATCGTTTTCGTGTGGTGGGTGGTTTGGACTGCTGTGGACGACTCTAACAACTAAATATGACTGCTGTTGTATTTCTGCTCCCGAGCAGACAGAGAAATAAATGTAGAAACAACAATTATCAGTCAGTCAGACAGCAGTGTTGAAGGAATGGAAACGGACTAACACAGCAGGCACATGTACCGTTTGGCTATGGGGGCTACATACGACAGCAGGAGTAGGATGCTGCCACCGCTGTCACTCTGCTGCACCTGGAGTTCGGAGGTCTGTATGTTGTCGATGGGTGTTGTCTACGGACACCAAGAAACAGCCGCAGAAATCTACCGGCCTTTTACACGAACGCGTAGGTAGTGTTTGATTGGCCAATCTGTTACACCGCCAGCTGTGACAACATAAAAAAAAAAACGAGCAGAAAGGGAGAGAGTTCGGTGACACGGGACAAGCGACACAAGCAGCGTGCGCGAACGTTGAACACGACAAGACCCGAGACATTCACAGAGGTGCGGCGGGAGCATACTCGTCAACAACAAGTGGATACTACCTTCGGTATTGGTGGCCAAGAAGAGGGTGACCCAGCGGCAGGCACGGTGCAAGGCAGCAGCAGCAGGTGACAAGACCAACACACGCGATGCATTCATTGAATATTTGTGCCTCCCTTACTTTTGAATCGTGCTTGGGTCTACCAGATACGCCGTAGTATTAGACATACAAGTCTGGAGAACCCCGCCGCGTGTGTGTGCCATGTGTATATATGCCGTCGGCGTCGAGGTGTCGAAGATCTTGAGGTCAAAACCAGACCCATATCCCCCTCACCCCTCCAGGTATATAGCCAAAGGTAGCCGTTTCTTGTGTCGTCTCTCTCTCTCTCCCCTCCTGCTGTCCCGAGGTCGAGTGCAGTGAATGGAGATCGTAATGCCATTACTCCATGCCTCGTGTACCGGCGTACCGGCGCAAGTCGCTTCAATTCACGGACATCAAGATACATCCCATCCAAACGGTCCCGCTAAGTCTACCCACTTCCCATCGCCCTCCCCTCGCGCTTCGTACCACACCTACAACAGCAATGGGACCCAAAATGAAGAGCAAAGCCTTCACAGGCAACATCATGAAGGGGAGATCGAGCATCTCCAGCTACTTCTCCAAGGTAGTAGCTGTTGTTGTGTAATATTCAAATTTCAAAGTTCATACGTACCAGGTACTGCTGTTGTGTGTGACATCACAGGCGCCGAAGGTCGACTACCACCCGAGTTAACCCTCTTTAGCACGCATCGTCGAATTGTCGACACCTGTATGACACGAGTCTCCTCCTATACCTACTACACACCGCTGTGTACTGCTGTATTACACTGCATACACCATGCCGACACCTCTTGTACACGTACACCATGTGACTACCGCTGTACTGTTGGCTGCTACTACGCTGCTACAGCAGCACTCCTGATGTAGACTTTTGTATGTACTGTACTGCCGAAACGCCGTGTGCGTTGCACACAACATGAACATATAGTCTACTGTATACCATTTAGCCTATTGTATACCATGTATTGTTGCTGCTTTTATCACACACACAGCAGCATCAGTGTGATACATGCTTCCTTGTTTGCTTCTTCTGCTTTGCGGATGTGCTAGAGATATCATCAGAAGAAGGAAACGGGTATGTGCTGCTGATTCATGCATGAGAGTTCTCACCCACATGTTGCTGCTGTGCGTTCCCTCACACACACTGAATCAACCTGCCGTAAGCCTTACCGATTCTAATCTATGTAGGTTTGAAAGCCACCCAGAGGTGTGTTACATAGCTTTAGACTCGAATGTGCCGACATTTTATTTGACCAAAATGTTGACACATCCTTTTGTGTAACCAAGTTCAATTTTATGTTTTGGTCCAATATGTTGTTTTCAAAAACGCAGGGTGCTAAGAGGGTTAATTCCGAGAAAAATTTCTCTCTCAAATGACTCGGAGTACCTGAAAGTACCAAATCCCAGAGATGTCAATGACTCTACTCTACTCTAACTCGACCTTCGGTGCCTGTAGTAAACATGTAGCGGTAGAATTGCGTACGGTTAGTAGACCGGTTGGTCTCTTCCCATATATAGTCTCCCCCCCCCCCACCCCCCCCCCCCC